TATTAGTCATTATATGACTAAGTAGTGACTAAGCAGACTGTAATGCACTCCCTCCTATACTAAGATGTACGCCTATCGCATGTATAGTAATCCGTAGTAAATATATATTGCAGCCGTGCCCATTTCTTTCAAGGACGAAAGGGTCTCCGGGAACAATTTCCTCTTAGTCATGATCAACTTTATCAGCCCATGATGATGGTTGAGTTTGATTCCAAAAATCAGAAGGCGGATGCGGTACTGTATGACGATGCTACTATGGCAGACGGTAGAGATAGTATGTGAACGTATCACGTGGTTTGAAGTACGACAAGAATACTCCGAGCATACCCAAACGCCTTCTAGGCGTTGTATTAAACGCTTGTTTTTTGTTAGAAGAAGAAAGATGCAGAGGGACAGAATAAGACTACTTTTTCCTTGCCTGTAGTCACGTGTATGGGCTAAGCCCTCTTTAGACTAGACTAGACGTCGCCAAAATGATTGAACCTCAAGGAAAGCTCTCAAGGTCAACAACAATTCCAATTGACACCTCGAATCACCATGAACTCCCTCCGTATTGCTCGCTCGGCTCTGCGAGCGCGTCCTGCAGCTATTAAGGCCCCTCTTCTCCGCAGAGGATACGCCGAAGTTGTTTCGGATAAGGTCGGTATTTCTGAACAGATTTTGCGAATCTTGCTAACTCGCCCTCAGATCAAGTTGAGCTTGGCTCTCCCTCACCAGGTACGTTCGAGACTCGATAACGGGAGAATTGAAATATAAGGGCCGGGTCGCCGAGAGCAGGGCTGATGAACAATGCGTTTGGGAGGCGCGCGAGGGATATGCGCATATAGCTAACTGCACATCAACAGTCGGTCTACAAATCGCAGGATGTTGTTCAAGTCAACATCCCCGCAGAATCCGGCGAGATGGGTGTCTTGGCAAACCATGTTCCTTCAATTGAGCAGCTGAAGCCAGGCCTCGTTGAGGTCATTGAGGAGAGTGGTGGAAGCAAACAGTTCTTCCGTAAGTTGTCGGCCCGCAGAAAACGCAGATTCCTAGCTTATATATGACTTGACTAGTCTCTGGGGGATTTGCTATCGTGCAACCAAACTCGGAATTGAGCATCAACGCCGTTGAGGGATTTCCATTGGAAGATTTCAGCATAGAGTCAGTTCGATCACAAATCTCAGAGGCGCAAAAGATTGCCGGTGGAAGTGGTAGTGAACAGGACATTGCCGAAGCAAAGATTGAGCTCGAGGTATTTTAGGCATTCCTTGATGGTTTTCGATCATTACTAACCAGTGCACAGGTTCTGGAGAGCCTGCAAGCTGTTTTGAAGTAGAGGGGAGGATGGAGTCGTAGTTGAGGCAAGAGGGTTATAGAAAGCAGCAGCCGTGTATATCATTGTTCGATAAATGCATTCTGTGAGCATTCGTATCACAACTAAAGTGATTTCCTGAGTTGTAGTTGTTGGTCACTCTTGCTCGTTTGGAACCCAGACTAGGGAAGGTAAGCCTAAACTACAACCAACTTTATCTTTTCCCCCAACACCGCTTCATATGTTCAACATTTATTACCCAAGGCTGGTGAGCAGCATTGCTCGGCACCTTCGTTTCATGGCCCAGTTTCTATACTTTTTTATTCCTATATTTTAGGGAACTCCGGAACCTCCAGATGCCTCCAGGCTCCTCTGAAAGGCCATGACCTTCCAGTGGCAGTCTTCAAGACCTGGACAGACAGCTCGGCACGCATCTACATCACCCCAATCGCCCTTGACTATTCACAAACATCCAGAGAATGATAGTGTTAGTACAGGCATTGTTGCATCACGCGTCCAATATTTACAGGGCTTTGCGAAATCACGTACCGCCGCTTCTCGCTCCACTACACCCAAACGTCGCGAATATTCTCGTATCGGTTTTGGTCGACGTTTGAGCAGCCGATTCGGGTCGCCTGCTTCTCGGAACAGCAATCCTCACGAGCATACACAAGTCGAGACCTCACATTCGTTCCTGGGTCTCACTATATTGAGGACAAACCACGAGGAGGGGCACGCAATGGCGGATGAAAGAATAAGCTTCGATCGAACGCCAGGAATTCATGGACAAATCAGGCAAAATTCTGTCATTAAACGTGTACAGTACGATGCTGTTTCTCCCTGGGCGACTCCGTCCAAAGCTGGGTCCTTTGCAGGGAGACAGCGAGCGCAAAGCACCCAGCGAGCATCTGAAGAGCAGTCGAATGTGCTCAGTGATACTAGTCGCTCTCAAATGGGTAGTCGCTACATGTCACAAGCTTCTAATGCCCCAGATACATCCTTTGAGGACTACTCCAATCCATATCAGTGCCTTCATTCTCGCCAGGGTGGGAATTTAGGGTTAGAAACTTCAATTCTAACCACATCTACCACGCGTCAGAGCGTTCGGGATATTTTCAAGTATTACGGGATCGAAAGACCGACGGGGCTTGTTTCGTCTGAAGATACTTCTCGGTCCACAGACGAGCCCTCTTGGCGATCAAGTTCGCATCGGCGCTGTCATGTTTGCTCATTCATCGCCTTAAAGAACTCCGTCAGGTGCTGGAGGTGTGGCCATGGTCACTGTGCAGAATGTGATGCTCTATCACCGATACAAGAAAGTCGTAGGGAATACCACCCTGAGGGTGCAGTGACTAACTCTAAGGACGAGATGCATCCCGTATCTGAGACATTTCCGAAGGAGAATACGAATGAGACGCCAAGTCAGACCAAAAGGCTTTACACACGACCCAAGCTACATTGCGTTCAGGAATCAACCTTGCCTACACCTCGAAAGCGCATTCGATCAAGTACATCAATCGAACCCCCCTCTTTTGGTGCTCATGTTTCCACGGCGAAAAGAGCTTCTCAAAAGCCTCCACTACAGCAGACTGGGGGGCAAATACAAGTTAATAATATGTATTCTGGACATAGGGTTACAACAAGTGTCAAGGAGTCTCCTTTCTTGAAAGCAGAAAGGTTGTCTTTAAAACAACCTCCTCGATGTCTCCCTATTGCTTCTCCAGTGCATAGTCGTGGTGACAATGGACAGAGTAACCGTACCCATAACCGCGACTCACAAACGAAATATGATCAATATTGTTATAGGAATTCCTCATCATCTCCAAATTCAGACGATGACGAGCATGGGGATCAAATGTCCCATGTACAATACATGCCTCATAATTCCAGGAAGCATACACCAACGAGACTTCAAGTTCCCGACGAATCGGACCATGGGTACACAGCTGATGATAGCTACATCGAGGACTTCCTACCACATCTTCACCCGTCTTACCCTCAGAACTCAAGGGCCCCATCCCAAACAAATCCCCGTGTGTTGGGGCCGAGTCCACGTTCACCTGGTGCTCAGCAGGGTGAGGTCCAAAAGGAGGAACTTGTCGAATGCTACGGGTACCCGAAAACAGGCCACCATCGCCAGGGCAGCGTTTCTTCTATAGGAGCTGTTGGAGATTGTCAACACTGTCTCAATGATTGTCAGTGCCCCGCATGCCAAAATACTGAACATAATGTCAGATGTTGTGTACACGAATCTCACAATCGCGTTATTCACCACCACGGTACTCCACAGAAAGAGAACATTGCTACTCCGATGAATTTTCCACCTTCACCCCCAAGCCCTCCGACTCCACCACTTCATACTGCATCATCTCCAGTCCGCACTGCGAGCACTGTGACTCCACTTCATTTGCAACGCAAAACAAGTCCACCAAAATTGAGACGGCTTCTTAAACCACAAACTCCGCAGACGTACGCCACAAGATCTATGCTAAAGGAAAGTTTTAGTACTTCGAAATCAAAGAAGTTGACATTAATAGATGGAGCGTCGCAACGACAAACGCCACCTCGAGGGTCGATTCCTCGGAAAATTGACAAGCCAACAGGTATATCTGCACCGAGAGCAAGCCCAGGGGAACATGGTGATTATCCTCTCTTCAAAAAGGAGCCGCATTTGTATCCTCTTCCCCTATTTAATAAAAGACCCGCACTTTCACCGTCAGCCACGAATAACAAATCAAGCCCAGCTAGCGCCACGGAGAATTATAGTTCCAGGGTCAGTGTGCGTCCTGGGCAAGATCTCGGACAGCTTGAGAGTTACAAGTGGTCCTCTCAGAGAGGGTCTGTTATTGAGGGGAAGCGCGTCAAGCTTCCAAGCCGAGGCGGCACTCCGCAGATGGGCAACATTTCCCCCCCAGGTTCGACAAAAGCATCAAGACGATTGTCTGCGTTGTTTCAGTTGAGGAAGGGGACACCAATACCATTCTTGAATCGAAAGTTGATGGAACATCAAGAACAATTAAGACGCATGGAGAAACAATGCGATGAAAAGGCCGAGGATCATGCTCTGGCAGGAGTCAGAGAATTCCAGAAATCTTGGAACGAACAAGCCACGCCGAATGTCCAGAATATGGAGCATGAGGAAAGATCAGTGAGCAAGGCGGGCTCAAATAATGGCAAGGCAGGAAAGAGGAAGGGAAATTTGAGATTGCTGGAGAAGCAACAGAGCCCCCTTTGTGTGAATCATACGCCCAAGTCCGCCGAGGAGTACATGTCGAGCGATGATACAGTGGAGAAGGAGCCAAGTCCCACATATGCGCCTGATACGACTAAGAACGTTGAAGAGTATAGACTGAGTGTTGATGAATCTGTTCATACAGCGCAGACTGTTGAGGAACGTAGGTTGAGTAATGATGCAGTACTGCATAGTTACCAGCAGACGGGAACAATAGAGGACCTAGAGATTCACGAGTGCATTTGGAAACGTATGTTTTTGGAAGAGCAATATCTTAGCGGGGTTCAGGAGGGAGGCCAGGATCAAGACAGTTGTATCAGGGGAATTACCGTTATGCTACACTTCGAAGGGAAAGATGACTTTGTTTTCAAGGGTGAGTTGTCGAGTGGCAGTCAGCTAATAGCTGTAAGGGAGTGAAAAGGTTGATCCTCAAAGTTGCTGAAGAAAAAGTCCGAGGGCTTGCTTTGCATCAAATAGATTGGTTTTTACGAACTTCGTAACAGTTTTGGCTAAATTCAAATTGTCATTGGGTATTCTTTTGCTTTGGGAAAGGTTTTGGTCTAGATTCCTGTCAGTCCTGTCACTCTTTGGTGTACAATCCAACTTTTATAATCCACCTAGCTTCTACTCCAGCTGCTCTCGTCATCGCTAGTGATTGAGCGCCTGAAAGGGCTGCTCTTTGACTTTGAAGCTGCTTAACAGTCGGTTCTGTAGCACCTCAGTGTCTGGCTCTTGCTTGCCATACCTTCCCTGCCGTTCTCTAGCAGTATATCCATCTCAGCTGTTCCCACGCGGAGAAACTCCAACCAATTACTTATAAAATTCACGCCATCTTTCCTCCCCACTACCTCACCAAACATCCTCCGGCGCCACCTCAAACTCCTCCCCCCTCTCCCTCACATGCTCCCTCTTCCCGTCCCTCCTCAACGGCTTGCGCATATCGTACGCATCCTCGCCGCTCTTCCCCGGATCCGCCAGATCATCACTATAGTAATCCACCACCCGCCTATACACGCTATACCCCATGCCCTCGTACAAGCGCTGCGCGATCCGGTTCGACTTGCGCACGAATAGGTCGACGAACCACGCGTCGTAGGAATCGCCACTGCGCTCGAGGGAGCTGGAGAGGGTTCGTGCGAGACCGAGGCGGCGCGCGAAGGGGGACACGGTTAGGGCCGTTATGTGCGCGTGGTAGGGGAGGTAGTGTGGGGAGAATTGCTGGTAGGGGGGTGAGGATTCTAGTTTGCCCATTACTGCGGGGGGAGGGGATGGATGTTAGTGGTTTTGTTTTTGGGTTTGTATGGTTTGGATGTGGTGGGAGGGAGTACTGTATGCATCTATTGTTCCATCTCGGCCCTCTGCTACGTTGAATAGATGAGGCCACCGCGCGATGTAGGAGAAGTAGAAGTTGAGGTCGTAGGTTTCGGTGAGGGGGTCTAGGTTGGTGGGGTTGAATTTGAAGACGTCTGTTGCGTGGAAGGGGCGGAGGGATGTCATTGTGGAGGGAGGGAGGGTTGTTGGAGGGGCATTGGTTGATTTGATGGTGAAGTGATATTGAGCTTATAATGCTTGTCTTGGATGGCTGGTAGTTAATAAGTGTATTTGTTCCACAGACCTTTTGGGCTGTGATGATGCTGGATAAGAAAAAGCGGCATCCAATATGGGTAGCTTTTGAATGCTTGCAACATTTAAAAACCAGTGCCGCTTTTTCTATCTAGTATGAGCGGCTTCCTCGCCCCGGTCTAAATTCTAGAAGATCTTTGTTTAATAGATCTATAATCTTCCTATGCGTAAAAAAGATCTGGACTTTCTTGGCATCCTGGGGAGTAAGTCAAACGTTTTCCGAAAGACTTTTACCATTGATGTAGTCTTTTGTGACAGGGGTTTATCGCATCAACGCCAATCTTGACCCAATCACAACGCCTAGTCCACGGCCGCGGCTGAGAAGGGAAAGGAGATATAATTCACCTGTCTATACTATAGCTTCAACGCCGTAGCCGTAGCCGTAATCAATGAACCCTGCTTGCGATCTGTCTCCACGTCGACACAAAATAACATTCACTATCCTCACCTCTACATCTAGCAGCGCGCTTTTCCCGCATGTTATGCTCATCGTCTCACAAACGAACGGCATATTCTGAATACAAACGCGAGTACCAAGGAGGACAAGGAGACCTGCGTTATTGGGGGCATATAACAGCAGGATCAGTCTTTCAATCTAGACGACTACCACTCCTTTACATACGAATTTAAGATGCCGACATCACCACGAACACCGAGGCATAGCAGACACACTTCAAACATCGATCTTTCCTTTGCTACGCCCCTCTCCTATGGCAATGATTCCAGTCCCAGAAGACATTCCAAGACCTCTATACATACGCCTACCTCATCGGGAAACAGACATAGTCTGACACGCTCGGATTCCATCGGGATAGACGTGTTCAGCAGTGGGGGACCAGCACAGGCTTCGAACGGGCTCGGCAACCTTGCGGATGAGCTGGCAGATGCGTGGGGGGAAGATGAGGATGAAGAAGAAGGGGATGAGGAGCCGGATATGAATTTCCAGGAAGTGAGTCAAGAAGGAGGACCGACGAGGGATAGTGGGGTGGATGTCACGTCTTCACCAGTACAAGCTCCGAATAAGCCGACGAGTCTTACTCCTCCCACAACTGGAGGTAGGGGACATAAGAGACAGCCTAGTGAGTATGATGGGAGCGATTATGGGGGAGAATCAGATTTGGACTCGCCGGGGATGCCTCCGGGCTTAGTATCTCGAATGGATTTGGTGGAGAGTTTGGCGCGGAGAGGTACCGAGAATACCGGGACTGCTGGAGATGGGGTAGTCAAGAGGGTCGTAGATGGATTGAAAGATCTGGGTGGGCAGTCCGGGGTTGAAGGAGGTGCTACACGGTGAGTCTCCCGATTTCCACCAAGCAAAAAGCAAGTACTAACGCTTCCCAGACTCATCACAGCACACACCGCACTATCAACACATCTCCTCCACCAAACCCGACTCCTCCAATCACTAGCATACCCTCTGTTCTCTCCCCTAGTAATGCCTCCCGACGAGGAATTCATCGACGATCTAATGCCCCTCCTCATGACCCTCAACGAATCAATGCCCCGCCCCACAACCGTAGCCCTCAACTCCCTCTCCCAGCTACACGGCCTAACAGCCGACCTCATCCAAACACTCAACTACCTCTCCGACACCCTCCACATGTCCCGGCAAACAACGACGACAGCCACACGCCGCTTACGTAGTGCCCGGGAACTTGTGGCCGAGATGCGGAAAGAGGAGGACCTCCGCGAGGAAGGAGAGCTCTGGCTCAAGAAGGGAAACTGGTCGGAGCGCTTGGGGGCAAGAGAGTGTGCGGGAGTGTGCGGGGATGTAGTTGGGGGTTTTGAGGAGGTGTGTAATGACTGGAGAGCGAGGCTTGTTGCGCAGGCTGAGGCTGTAAATGTCTGAAATACGAAGTGATGAGATAGATAGGTAGGGTTTTCCTTTGTGGGCATATTTGGCAAGCGGAATTCGGCGTTCTGGACAACGGATTGCATAGATGAAGAAAGACAAGACAGACGGCGGCAATAATGATTTGTTTTTGTTTGGAGGTCCTGGATATTCGGATAGCATGTGTGTATAGTATAGTATAATACTCGTTTTCTTATGTTGCGGGCACACTGCAGTTGAACTTCCTGGATATTCGGAACATATCTGTATAGTACTCATTTTCTCATGTCATGGATAGACCGCAGTTGAGCTTCTTGGGTTTTCAAGGCTCGGGCTCCTGGGACATTGCACTTTTTGATTTTATTTGATGTTGTATACTTGGCCATGTGGCACTTCGTCCCTTCGTTCTGCACAATTGCATTTTACCTAATCAAATACCCCTGGAACTCTCGAGCAAGTTCCTAAATCCTCGCTTAGAAGAAAGGGGCAAATTGGGGAATACATGCATATACACAATTCTTTCTACCTCCAAATGTAGCATTTTGTCCTTTCAAGCGGAATAGTAGCAATTCCCCTCTGGTACCAAATATGGCATACTAGGCGACATCTTACACACGCTACTCTTGGTATCTCATGTCTCAGATGTTTTCGTTAACAACTGAAAGCATCACATTGCATTATCTATCCTATCACTCTCAAACAAGAAAACTTGTTCACCAATTGATTCTACACGTCTCTTTATATGCTGTACCAAGGGATGTTTCGCATTTCCACGACGTGCAATAATAATCCGATCTCCAAATTGGGGGTTCTCAAACTCCCAATTGTCTTTTCCGTTTGCAGTCTGCCTTTTCGACTTCCCAAATCAGCACCCGCAAGCAACCAACCTGCCCCAATATCAATCTCTAGGTTCTTTATCTCGGCGCGTTTCATGTTTTCTGCGAAGTGCAACAAATTTCGTGTTTATATGGTAACATGTATGTATTACGTGTAGACCATCATTTGAATCAATGAGTAAATAGGCTGAATGCGGTTCTGAATTTAAGCGTGTAAGCGGTGGTAGAGTTTGAAAATTTTGAAAATTTTGGCTCGTTTCATGCATAGGGCTGCAAGCAGTTACTGTGCATTCACAGATTTTAGTTGTGTGATTCAAGGATTGAATATAAATAAACCTTCCTACAGTATGCACCTCTCGTATTCGTAAAACCCCGAGATCCGAAACACCCAACCGATCTCACTCACGGATCGTTCCGAATTCAACTGTTCATCCCCTTGTCTTGTTTCCGAGACGAATCTGGTGGCCTCACACCCGAAAAATCAGAATGGGTATCTATCTCTCTTCCACCGAAGTCCCACCATGCACAATTACAGTACCATGCGATATAGTGACATAATTCTTCTATAAGTTAGATTTCTAGAACCCATCTGATGAGGGGGGAGAGCTCCAGGTCTGGTTTCCAGATGATCTAGATTCTGGAGGCTAAAATGGACACAGACACATCTGAAGGGTAAAAGCAAGGAGGCTTGAGCTGCGTCTCGTCTACGCTCAGTGAAACAAATTCGGACTCTGGCTCAAGAGCGTAATTTACGAGTCTAGAAATAAATCTCGGCTCCAGAGTTGACGACTGCGATGAGCAACAAAAGTCTGTAAAAGGGCAGACCATATGATTTGAGGACGAGTATGCATATGGAGGGGGTGCACGGAACGTGGGGAGTCCAGGTGCACTGCTGATCAAAGTGTCTGGACTGGACGGTCGGTAGCATCGGGAAGGACAATAGAATGTAGAAACCCATCCGTCTGTTTCTACATGGGTTGGTGGGTGGTTGGATGGGTGAGAGCTCTTGAAATGCTTCCTGTTGTGTGGAACTTCAACATAGGGAAAACATCATGATCCACCTCAAAAGGTTTGCCTGTCGAGTGATGACATTGCTCGAATAAACAGTCCAGCATACTCTATTAAACCTTTCAATTTTGGTATGCACAAAGACGCGGTTACAGATGTAACATCATTTACCGCTCGCCGACCAGATCCTATCCATCCACTATTGCCTTCTCGACTTCCCACCCCTCCCAAGAAGGTCTATCATAACCACTAGGTCTACTTGCTCTTTCAATTCCCACTCTTAACACCTCGATATTGACGGGACTTCGACACCCTTTGGTTTCATCCCTAAAGCCTTTACATAAAGCCTTTTTGCATCAACTAGAATCAAGTGTCACAACACAAGGTATGATGAACCAGTCAGAGATTTCTTCAAACCTTCGTACCTGATATTTAACACAGTGATACTTAAGAGTGCTAGATGACAACCAATCTGTTAAGAGATAAATACGCAAGACAAAATCCACAGCCAGCCGCCTCCTGAATACGGCCCACCACCACAATCTCCTTCCCAACATCCATTTCATCATCCCATTGATTCTAGCCCTCAGTTCCCACCAGCAACCTCCCCCCAAATCTGCACCGGCGGCACTGTGCTGAAATTCGGAATATCCGCCATAATCTCCACGCTGTCCTCCTTCAACGCCTTCCTAAACGCCTCCAAACTTTCCCAATGCATGATCAACTCGGTCGTGTAGCCACCCACTGGATCAAGCTTCATGACTTCCCATTTCTGAAGGCCGAATTTGGACCAGGACTTTTGCACCCATGGCATGTGGGTCGCGAGGTAGTACTCGAGGTTGAAGGGCTTGGAGGTAGCGGGGACGACCGGGTAGAGAAACGTTACTGTTGTTGGTGCTATTGTGTGTCTGTTGGGAAATTGGGTTGAGGTTTTGACTGTGTCGTGTGTTGTAAATAATCTCTGTTATATAGCCGGTGGGCGTGGTTTACGTACGTTAGTGAGATGCACAAGGCTGACTAAATCAGGTTGAAGGGGTTTTGACTAAACTAGCACCTGCAACTGACATCCTCCTCCTTCTTCCTCCGAAGCTTATTAGATGCCCGACTTGAATCTAGGCATCGTCACTTCCGAATGAGGGGACGAGGGGACGAGGGGCGAGTCTTGGGGGCAAGCCGAGGAGGTTGTTCGATTCGAGGGTAGCGAGGGTAGCGAGGGATTCCATTTTTATCGAGGGCTCTTATGTTATTGGTTCTTCTGCATCTTTGAACTTCCAGGAGTCGCCGAGATCAAGGGTGGGAGGTAGCTTGTTACGTCCGATTTTCTTCAAGCGACATTATACAGGGTACTCTCGCGGTAGACAGAAAAAGCGGCGCTCTTTATCATCGACTTCCAAAGTCCGATTCCGCCTAGGACAATTATAAAAAGGTGCCACCGAACTGGGTATTTTCCGAAAAGTATGAGTGACTTATAGAACAGGCTCTGATATAGATCTGGAAGGAAGCTATTGATTCAACAGAGCGAAATTTATATCTCGTGCAGCAGCAATCCAATAACCAAGAGGCGCTTTCCACCAAGCTGGGCAAACATCAGGTGAATCTAGATGTCTAAGGGTCTGAAGAAGCGCTGAAGCACCGCGGACCAATTCCTGTCGAGTTGAATTGGATACTCTGTTATCGTACCCTGCTCTTAATATGACTAGGGCAGTGGATGTGAACAACTAGATAATGCAGGGTCAGCAATTGTTATTTGGGACATTGTTTGTAATATATGAGGCAGAAGCGAAATAACAGGATTGAACAAGGGTCTGGGAAAAAACATGAAGAGGTGGGAAGAGGCCGAAGGACTTACAGAAATACCTGCCACCTCATATAAGCGACTAGCTTTTTCCTCAAAATCACTTCTACCTATTTCGTACAAGGTTTTGATTACAGCCAGTTCTGTGTACTCTCTACCATCGTCGGTCGTTTGTATTGTTTTTTGCTCGGATGGGTTGAAAATGAGTAGCCTAGAAGCTCCAACCTTTTCTCGATTGAGTTGATTTGTTTGGTGATCATGTCGCCCAATATGGGATCGTTCGCAACCGTGGATGCGAGGACTCGCCGAATCCGAGTATTAAATACCCTCATGTTTCGATTTAAATAAACAAGCTGTTCATTTTCAACAAGATTAACATTGTCCCAATTAGGAGAGAGTTTCTTCACAACTTTGGCATGCGCAACAGTCGCCAAATCCAGTAAGTAAAGTTGTTCGGTGGAAACAAATTTCAGTTCTGAAGCTGGAAGCGGTTCGTCACCTGAATTCGTGTTCATAATGTTCTGCAACTCGGGAAAACCTTTGAGGATGGCGTCCACATTTCCCTGAAATTGGTGTTCTGCCAGCCAGTATTCTTCTATCGCGCTCCGGAGCTTCATAGTCTTGTGTCGAAATTCGGCTTCTCGCCGTTCTGCAGGTGATAGGTTAGCCAAAAGCAGCATCTCTTGCCAACGTGTTGTAGTTTCACGCTTGTGTATGACTCGCTCTGGTTTCCTTTTACCGCCTTTTTTGGCTACAAGATTTCCGGTATCTCTGATTCCAACACCCAATTCCATCATCTGAAACAATTGGGATCCATACATTCTGACAGAGACTTGCCAGAAATGATCTTGATGAACATCCTCGAAAAATTTGACGGGGACAGGAAATGCATAGGTATCCTTTGCCAAAAGAGGAGTTAGTAAAACAGCTGATCCGGGATATGTTCTCTCTGCATCTTTAACTGTAGGAAAATTGGGCTCGACGACTATAGATGAGTGGAAATTAGTGACTCGTGAGCTATTTGTTTTTGAGATGAGAGTGAATGGTGCAGGGAGTGAAGGAATATTTGTAGGCCTGGAAACATATGAAATAAGGCACTTGGGAAATCTGGTAACTCTTACAATATACGAAACTGGGGTATGGGTTGTTTCTTGACATAGGGAAAATAAAGGCCCCAAAAACACGATTCTCCATCGCTAGTCCTGATTCCATAATGCTGTCATCGTTGAAATAAGGCTATAAATGGTCAGCATGGTTCTATCCTTCACGGGATACACAGACGAACCTCGAATTTTGCGAGCTCCGGACCATTGCCTGCAGCCTCGCTTTCAATTGCTATAGATAGTTTTCGGTCAGCAAATGCTCGTTCAAAAGTGTTTCGAGAGCAAACAGGGCAGAAGTAGCTAGATAGTTAGTAAGTAGATGGCCTTGAAGTAACAATATCATAAAACTTACAGGTGCCAAAATATGTGCGTTGCAAGGCTGAAAACTTGTCGTATGGAAAATAAATGCCCCCCTTTACTTACAGTGAATAAGATGCCAGAATGCATGTGTGCACTCATGCACAAGTATGCTCGCTATCCAGTATTCCAAGCCAAATCTTACGGCATCCGGCAAATTATCCTGAAACAAGGGCTGAACAATTCCAATATCTAACAAGATCCATATCTCAGCAGGCTTTTCGCCATCTAAGAAGGGGCCGGTCGTGTAGGCGTCCGACTCCTCCGACTCCTTAGTTCTCTTGTCCGAAAAAAGCTCCCTGGTGCTCTTTTTGAATCCAACTCTCAATCTCCTTTTCATTTCATCGTACAAGATATATTTTTCGTTGTTATGTTCCAAGCTTCCCAGCGCCCCGTCGTTCGGTGCCCGAGAATGGAATGACTTCAGTTCATTTGACTTTCGTGAATCGGGACGGCCTTTTTTCCACTAGGGGGTATACTCTATTAGTATATCGTACATCCACGAGCGTCGGGGGGTACTAAAATAGAATGTACTGATTTGAAAGAGTAATGCCACAAGAAAGTTGAGATTTTGGTACACATTACCGGAGGAATTCTTCGGGGATCTATCGGTCGCCGGTCACCATGCTTGAGCGTGTTGATAATCTGATATTTTCGTCAGCAATAGTGTGTAATAAGATCGAAATCCCTACAAACATGTCCATCTGGGGCAACGAAAGCATGCGAGAAGCTATAATCAGACATGGCTTCAGGATATCCCAGACATGCTCGTTTGTCGCTGACCAGTTGCCTGGTTTCAGTTTACCTATGCGATATCCGCTGAAATTAGTAGCATTGCCGTCCCACCAGTTGTCTCTGTCTAAAAACGGGATTATAAAGTTTTGGAGACTGCTGGGCTTCAAGGGCAGCTCGCTAATGGACCCAATGTCTATCAGCTGCTGTGTTGTTAAACCGTAGAGCATTTCCCGTTGGAAATCTTGTGTCTGCAGTTCAAGCTTTAGCTGCTCTGTAGTTGGTTGGTTTTGAGCACCCAGAAGAGGAAGAACGGGCTTGACAGGGGTGAAACCGCTTTTGCGCCTTTGCCACATAGGAGCACCTCCATATCTGATTGCCCATTGTGATCCCATAGCTACGTAAAATTGAAATGGGCAAGAAGGCCTTGAAATAGTTGAATATTTACGGCGAGTGACATGCGAAATTTTACTATGCCAAGTAATTGTTTGGGCAAAGAGGAGGTCAAGTGGAGGACAAAAGCATAGAGTGTGAAACTGAACAAAGCGGAGATTTTTAGCATCTTTGTCCTTGACATCGATGGCTGGCAATTTGATCGCATTTGATCATGTACCTTTTGTCCGTTTGCGCTACTTTGTAATAATGCCTTTGGCTCGTCAATCCAAAGCTTGTTTTGAGGCTATGAAGATTGTCCACCATGTCGTCGTTATATAGACGGTGTATCCTACCCTCCAGTCCATCAGCTCTTTATAAAAAGCACTGTATTTAAATGCCACAGTGGATTTGGTATTGACGGATCTAACAAATGCAAAGGTGTGAATGGTGATGGAAACACCCAGTGCGCGCCTTGATGCCTGTCGCTGGGTGCCTAGGTGGACGCGTACTGTAAGAAGTCTCGCAGCTTGCGGGACTCTCTTACTTGGTACTTCACATATGGTAATCCTTAGTTGAGCAAGTGGGTGAAGCAAATAAGACGTAGGTAAGGTTAGATATAGTCCAGTCTTGTGGAGACACGCGACTGCCGATGATCATAAGGTATGGTAGGTATGTAGAGAGAGAGAGAGAGAGAGAGAGAGAGAGAGAGCGATATTCGTACTTGTCTTCTATGGAGAACAATAGAGGGCACGTGCGACGTGCACGTAGGGCTCTACCTAGAGCTAAAAATTTACCGACCCTTGCTGTACCTGATTTGATTTGGTGGTGGGGTTATTGTCCAGCGTGCATCTGAATCAACACTTCAAGCCTTCCCTTCACTGCGGAGCCAACAACCAACCTTGAGCTACGAGTATTCTCTTTGCTGCCTCGAAACATCCCAAATCTTGCAGCTCCCCCAATCTCGTTCAATCTTCTCTTAACCGTCAGCCAGCAGACAGACGTCTACCAGAAGCACCGAAGATATCATCACCGCACCGTTGCCCCCCCGCAGAAAAATATGACCTTATGACTTGATAGCGAGTCTCGAAGCATGATCTATACAACCTCTCTGCTTCTGCCATTCTCCTAGCAGTGGAAGACGACATCTGCAGGCAGGATCACAACCGTCTTGCAGATCAAGGCCTCTGGAAGCAAGCAGTCATGGAGACCCAGGTGAGTCCGCACTTCGTTCACCGGCCTCCTATGACGGGGCAACGATTTCAACTTCCATTTCAATGTCCCCTCGAACCCCAAAAACTGACTCTTGTCATCTCTCAGGTCTTGAATGCCATAGAAATCGCCTCGAATCCTACTTCAGACCAAAGCCTCAACCTACAAGCTATCAATTTTATTCATGAGCTCCGGTCAAACGCATCTGGCCGTCAGGCATGCCTCTCCCTCTTTACAAGAACACCAAAATGTTCCGAAGTGGTCCGTTTAGTATCCCTAGACGTTGTCAATAATGCTATCCAAGCAGAGCAATTTGAAGATCAAAGTTTGAGTCATGTAAAGGATTCTCTTCTGGAATATATCAGACGTGCATATGGGTCTGGCAACCGGGACGATGTCGACCCACCAGGCCTTCAGAACAAACTTACACAGACCTTGACCTTTCTCTTCATATCAATGTACAAGAATGGCTGGGAAGGGTTTCTAGACGATTTCCTAGCCTTGACCAGCCTGCAGAATAATGGATCGAGGGATAACATTGTTGGAATTGCCCTATATCTTCGACTCCTAAGCTCTATCCATGACGAAATTGCCGACGTTATGCTGTCTCGTCCTACCTCCGAAACGCGGCGCAACACCGAGTTGAAAGATCTACTACGAGCACGGGACGTTCAGAAAGTTACGACTTCTTGGCAAGAAATCCTCGCGCAGTGGGCAGGTCGGGACGACGGGATAGTAGAGATGAATCTCAAAGTCGTTGGCAAATGGGTTAGCTGGATTGATATATCCTTGATTGTTAACGAAGAGACATTGAACCTCCTTTTCCAGCTCGCTGGCCGCCCCAACCCTTCTAATAGGGAGGATAAAGTGCGGAACGCCGCTATTGATACCTTCACAGAGATTGTGGCTAAAAAGATGAAGCCATCAGATAAGATGAACATGGTCATTTTCTTGAATTTGGGACAAATTGTTTCTCAGCTTATTGCTAGCCCGGCACTTCATGATCTACGTACGACATCTAGTTATGATACTGATCTCGCCGAAGCTGTTGCAAAACTTGTCAACAACGTCGTTTTTGATATTGTGAAGGTGCTTGAAGATGTTCAGGTGGATGCTGAGACGAGAGCAAAAGCAGAGCAGCTTATCCAGTCTTTCCTTCCTCTTCTTCTACGATTCTTTTCAGACGAATACGATGAAATTTGCTCGACAGTTATACCATCTCTGACCGATCTTCTCACATTCTTACGCAAAGCGAAGCCAATCCCACCTGCATACTCTGCGATGCTGACACCTATTCTCAATGCTATTGTCCAGAAGATGAGGTATGATGAAACTTCAAGCTGGGGAAACGAGGACGAACAAACCGACGAGGCAGAATTCCAGGAATTGAGAAAGAGGTTGCAAATCTTGCAGAAGTCGGTTGCTGCTGTGGATGAAGCACTTTACATTGACATTTTGAGTAATGTCATTGGAAACACTTTCCAAAGACTCGATCAACAAGGCGGTCAGATGGATTGGAGGGATCTTGATCTCGCCCTCCACGAGATGTATCTATTTGGGGAGCTTACGCTGCCAAACGGAGGTCTCTATGCAAAAAGCCGACCCTCAGGCGTCGCTGCTGAGCGCTTAATCGTCATGATGTCGAAAATGGTTGAGTCTGGTAAGACTGTCGTAAGTCTGTCGTAAATATAGTATTTGCTAACAATTGAAAGGGATCGCTTCCTTCGCTCACCCGGCAATCCAACTACAGTATATGGAAATCTGCGTCAGATATTGTACCTTCTTCGAGAACCAAACAGGATATGTACCTCAGGTACTGGAGCATTTTGTCCGGCTTGTCCACCATGGGCATAGCAGAGTCCGGACACGCTCTTGGTATCTTTTCTATAGATTTGTAAAACACTTGCGAGCTCATCTAGGCAACGTTGCAGAGACTGTTATTCAGTCTATCAGCGATCTTCTGCCCATCAAAGCCGAGCTTCCAAGTGAAAGTAGCGCTGATGATGATATGTCGTCCGATCAAAGCGACCACTCTGCAGATGCGGCGTTTACTGGACAACTCTACCTCTTCGAGGCTATTGGCTGCATCTCATCGACCTCAACAATTCCCGTGGAGAAACAGGTTCTTTACGCACGAACTATTTTGGAGCCTCTTTTCTCCGACATCCAGCGTACTCTACCATCAGCATCGTCCGGCGACGCCCAGGCGACCTTGCAAATCCATCATATAATCATGGCGCTGGGAACTTTGGCACACGGGTTCTCAGACTGGACCCCTGGAAATGCTGCAACGGCACATCTAGCGCCCATGAAGGAGGTATCAGAGGAGTTCAATCGCGCCGCAGAAGCCATTCTGATTGCACTTGAAGCCCTCAGAGCTTCGTTCGACGTACGCACAGCCGCCAGAGCATCCTTTACCAGATTAATGGGTGTTCTGGGTATTGGAATGTTACCACTTCTACCTCGCTGGATTGATGGCTTACTATCTCAAAGCTCTTCCAAAGACGAGATGGCTATGTTCCTTCGCTTATTGGACCAGGTGGTTTTCGGCTTTAAGAAAGAGATATATTCCGTCCTAGACTCTCTTCTCACACCACTCCTTCAAAGAGTCTTCGCAGGCCTAGCCGAACCAATTACTGGAACCGACGACGAAATCCAACTTACCGAGCTTCGACGAGAATATCTGACATTCGTCCAGATTATCTTGAACGAAGGCCTCGGAGCTATCCTTGTCAGCGACTCGAACCAACAATTCTTCGAGCCTCTTATCATCTCCGTCACTACATTAGCAAAAACTGTCAATCCAGACACCGGCAACCTCTCCGCCAGCCGACTCGCTTTCTCGGTACTTACCCGAATGGCCGACCTCTGGGGTGGTCCCAACATCGCGATCATCTCCCCACAACCAATGGCCTCTATCCCTCCATCTCCCGCGTTTCCAGGTTTCGACCGCTTCCTCATAGAACGTTTCCACCCTATCTGTTGGGAAGTTTTACGAGACCCGCAATTTAGACCAGTGACGGATGCGCAGATCAAACAGGTTCTGAACGAAATCGCCGGTTTGGAACAAACTATTTACACTAAAACCGGTGATATGTTTCTGCAACATTTGCAGGGTTCCTTCTTCCCAGCCATGGGTATCGATGGCACGGATTTTATCAAAGCGATGACGACGTCCGCAGACCGCAAAGGACTTTCTGGATTCTTGCAGAGGTTCTTGAAACATAATGGTTGAATATGATATGATATGATGCGAGGAAGGGTGGGTTTATGATGCATGCATATAATAAGGCGTTTTTCGGAGGTCAATACCATGTCAACGAAAGATACTTATTGCAAGGATTTGGGGTGGGTGGGCGAAGGGTTATTCGAGTGTGGGCAGAGAGCCCTTCAAAGTAGCAAAAGAATAGGTAGTCAAATTGAGGATTAGATAAATACAATTCGCATTTGGAATACACGAAGCTGCGATAATGACGCCGAGAACACAAATATACATGCTGCGATATTGCCACCCCGTAGCCATATCCCTACTCCTTGGAAGAATGCTCGATGTCTCACTCCATCTAGCAGATTGGAGTACAGACAGAAGAATATCCAACTTAAGAGACCATAACTAAAACTAAACCAAACCAACAAATATAATGTATGGTATGTTGGAAGTGGCCATACATGCATGGATGGTTTCAGAAGAGAGTGAAGCAAGCAATGGATGGCCATCTTACTCCCTAGTCGATGCCGAACGCATCTTTGCAGAAGCAGAAGCGAGGACTGTATTTAAGAAGAAGTCGAGGCTCATTACTTGGGGTGGGGTGCTAGATGCCGTAGCTGGAGCTGGACTCAGCAAGAATTCAATGTCCATCTTGAGCGGGATTCTTGCTAATTGCTGATGGAGATGGATGATGATGTTGCGTGCGTCTTAATAGCTAATCGAGGAGTCAGTTAGTAATTGATAGATGTATATATATGGTAGCGAAAACCTTACCAGCAATGATAAGTTTAATGAAGCGGCTTCTTTCCGATGATTTCTTTTTTCAATAACTGAATTCCAAGAGATAATGACAAGAAATGGATTAAGAATTGTGTGTTGGCTTGTAGTTTTCTTTTGGACCCTGAAAGGACTAACCTGAACAGAATTAGTTGGGAGGAAGTTGGAGTTTGGACTGACTTCACTTACCGAACCGAAATAGATTGATACAAGAAGACGATAGTTTCACAGATGAAAAGACTCTTAGTTTGAAATGTGTGGTGAGTGGTAAGATAGAAAGTGTGCAGGGGAGGACGGGAAGAGGTTTGTAATATCATAGATAATAAGAAAACATGGTGGAAACGTGCAACTTGTAACTTTTATAGTTTAGTGTGATGTATGGTGCGTTGTGCCTTTGCCCTTACGAGCATGGGAGGAAAATATGACCGTAGGCGCGATTCTGGCACTGCGGTTCCACTTCCCTGGAGACCAAAGCTAACAAGTAAAAGATGGTACTAGCATAGCATCTAAGCTTTAAGGTGGACATAGGGTACTTGAAGATATTCTCAAAAGCCTACCTAGGTATAAACTCAAGTGTGGGAATTCTTCCTAAGGGGGAAAGAGTGACGAGACGGAAAGACAGAAGCAATGGAAGCCAACCACCAAAACATCACAAGGAGAAGACGAAGTAATGCGGGTAAGTCAAGCACCTAGGTGAGTGTAATTTGGAGACTTTCAATAAATATCAGCCATTAACTCTTTTTACTTGAGCTCACTGAGAACTTTCTTCAACTCCTCTGCAACCGCATCACCAACCTCCGAGGTGCTCGAAGTGCCACCAATATCCTTCGTCCGAATCCCCTTCTCAATCGTTCTTCGGACTGCCTCCTCTACAGCCTTGGATTCGGCGGGCAGGTGAAGCGAGTAGTTCAGCATCATGGCCACAGACAGGATCGTTCCTACCGGATTGACGAGTCCTTGACCCGAGATGTCAGGTGCAGATCCTGGGCTCGTCATTAGTTGAGATATCGCAAGATGAAGGGAAGGAGCTTACCGTGAATTGGCTCATAGATACCATTGCACTTGCTCTTTCCATCCGGAATACCGCTTAAACTTGCACTAGGAAGCAGACCAATGCTTCCAGGAATGACGCTCGCCTCATCACTGATGATATCCCCAAATAAATTGCTCGTAACCACAATCCCGTTAAGCGCTCGTGGGTTCTTCACCATGAGCATAGCAGCGCTATCAATCAAATGATGGCCGATTTTCAATTGCGGGAACTCATTGGCCATAACCTCAGTGACGACTTTCCGCCATAATCTGCTCGTAGCGAGAACGTTCGCCTTGTCCAAACTCCATACTGGCAGAGGGGGATCATGCTGCAGAGCCAAATGAGCACCAAGCCTTGTGATACGCTCGATTTCCGGGCGAGAATAAGGTTCCACATCCCACGCGATTCCATCACCATCATCCTCTTTCCGGTCGCCAAAATAAATACCCCCAGTAAGTTCCCGAATGATATTGAAATCCGTACCGCGACATACCTCAGCCCTCAGCGGCGAGATATCAACGAGGGATTCGGAAGCAAAATTACAAGGCCGTAGGTTGCCAAATGTGCCCATATTCTTTCGGAGTGCGAGGAGGCCTTGTTCCGGTCGTACCTTCCCCGTCCCCCATTTCGGACCACCAATTGCACCGAGCAGGACAGCATCTGCGGCTTTAGCAGCGTCGAGGGCTTCGGAAGTGAGGGGCTCGCCGGTGGCATCAATTGAAGCCTGTTTTAATATCAGATTCCGTCGGTGAAAAGATGAAAAAATATATACTTACGCCGCCGAGCAAATGTTCTTGGAAATTGAAAGTTCCAGCACCCGGCCGAGCAGCCTCAACGACCTTGAGAATCTAGCACAACAATCAGCTTCTAACCTACCATCCCTCGTACGTTTGGAGCTCCTCATACCTTAACAGCTTCTTTCACAACCTACCATTCCATACGTTAGCAAGCTCCTATGAAGCCATTGAGGAGGAAATGAAGCTTTACCTCGGGACCGCAATGGTCGCCAGCAAAGACGACGATATTATGAGTTGCCATTTTGTGTAGATTCAAAAGTTAAAAGTTGTACAGTATGAAGATGTGGGGGGGATAAGATGATGTTTTTATTGACCCCGCGCTTCCGATTCTCGGAGACACACTTTAATGCCGATCGCGCGACTTGAGTACAGTACCGAGCTATGCGCGGTTGCGGTGTATATTTCAGAATAAGAGGGCAAAATAAATCATTTTCGAGAGGTTGTATCTAACTGGCTGATATCTAGATGGTTTCTGATCAGCCTTGTAAGATTATTAGATAAAAGATGCCAATTGTTCTAGGTCGAGTGGCACATTCAAGACCGCCCAAAATAAGTGTCGCTTGTTCTAATGGTATTCTCCAATAAGTCACCACCTACCTACCCGTGCATATAGTCAATGAGTACCTAGGTATAAACCAGATGGAATAAATCTGCTGAAATTTCTATTTCTATACAAGATATTGCCCACATACTATTGCTATCCTAACTCGCCTGCCTATTGCGTGACCATGTGCGACGCTATGCTTTGATGTGCTATGCTGTGCTGGTGCATCATATTCGACTATTTTACATACAGAAGAAGGGTATCAAACGACAAAAGAAACTCTGTGATGCAACGCAATGTGATGTGGGGTAATACCCGTCTGGTTCAGTCCTCTTCGTATCTTCATATCGAGGAATCATCTTTGGACGTATGCTACGTATGTCATTTTGGGCTTCGTGAATATGCGTGGGGGGATTAGTGAGGAGGTAGGAGAGGTTTGAGCGTTCGTCGGGGCTTAGTGGTCATCGCGTTAGGGAAACCATGACTTCCATTGTATGGATGGTCGGTGGAGGGTGCCTTTATCGAAATGATTTGAAGGATTTGTGGGCTAATGGCGAAGAGCCTACGTGGGTGATTCCTCGTGCCGAATCTCGAATACGGCCACCTCTCATATTTGGAGTATTGGCACAGAATGCGCAAACGTAGACAGGAGGAAGACTCCGGCGGTCAATGCCAACACATTCAGCGTGGAGCCAATTGTCACAGGATTCGCTTGGAAACGTCAGTAAGTGGGGTTCATCTTGAGCAATAGGAACGAACACATACCACTGAATCATGAAGCCGTCACTATCAGGCTTATTGCACACGCATCTCGTAGCGCCACTTCTCGAGCTAGGTGTAGTCCCATCAGGATCCGTAATTGTCGTTGGCGAAAGATTGGTGGAAGAGCCAAAGCTCGCGTATTGCGAGCTGCGACGCGGATGGTTGGACGAATAACGGTGATGTTGAGGATTACGAATCTTCGTCATTTGGATCTTCTTCCTGTCTTCCATCACTTTCCGCAGCTCCCGCGTTGCATCTCCCAAACCCTCATCATCATCCATCACGGTTTCTGCCTCGCTTTCATCATGATGCAAAGATTGCTGGCTTGAAGACTCGGACTGACTATAGCCACTGCTGCTATGTCTCCTTGCATTAAGACCGCGATTCGAAGTCTCAAATCTAGCAAGTTTGGGGCCCTTGGATGGCGGTGCAGCTGTGAACGACGTGTTTCGACTTGGTATTAGGATTGGCTCATCGTCCGAGGAGGAGTCGTCTAGTGAGGAGTAGAACTCCTCGCTCTTAGTTGATGGGCCTCCTGGAGTTGTCCTTGGCTCTTCTTGAATCGTCACAGTTTCTGTTCTAGCTCTTCCCTTGGCATCTATCGTAAACTTAACTTCCATTCGAGCTCGGGGAGCAGGTAGCTCGGGAATTGAGGTAAGGCTGGACGGGCGTTGTTGCTTTACTGGAGAAGAACGACCCGTACGAGGTCTGACTCGGTCTTTAAGACGGTTTTAGTATGTATGTACAAGCAAAAAAAGTACGGGCAAGAACTTACCTTGAACCCTCTTACCCCTAGTATCACTGACGCTGCGTTGGAGGCCTGGACGCGCCGATCCTTTGACTGGCGAGCTCATGGTCCCTCTTTCATAGCGACGGCCCTGCCTCATATCTCGAGATGTGCGAGACATAAGGAGCTCTTCTCGATCTCTAGAAGCCTCTCTTAATTGGTGCGAATAAGGTTCTAGAGGCATATGACTTGTGACAGGGCGTGTAGGTGGCAGGGAAACGTCTTCGAATTCCGAAGGCATACTTACGGAGTTGTGGCGGCTGAAAAGAAGCCCTGGATCCACTGCACCGTCAAGTGTCACAGCAGAAAAGGGATCTTCTGAAGCGTGAGACGTGCTAAACTCAAATGGCGGCAAAGACGTTAGTGGCTGCTGTTGCTGCTGTTGCTCTGGCACCGAGATCTTTGGGGCCAAGGCCCTTTGACGCTTGCCAGCAGAGGCTGTGGAGATAACCTTTTGCTGTGGTAGTCGCTGGCTCGACGACATATTCACTGTCTCCTGGAACATCTGATTACTTCGCCCCCAATCGAAAGAGGTGCTGGCTTTGTGGGAAGAACTTGTGTTAAACATGCCGCCGTCGTCAGCAGCGAAGTCCATATCCATGCCGCCCATGCTAGTATCCCCCTCCCAAAAAGGTTTGGTATTAGTGAATACAGGGGCTGTCGCAGGGGCAGACATTGGATAGAAGAATTCTGCCGAGGTTGAAGGAAATGGCATCATGTTGGACTGCTGTGTTGGTGTTTGGGAAGAGCCATAGTGGCCTTCCTGAGAATCATTCTGCATAGTGTTGGTCTGAAGTTTCGGCGCCAGTTTCCTTGACCCTTTGGATGCCGTTGCTGGAGGAGTAGCTGTCTGTCCGCTAAAAGCTTCTTCCAAACGTTTCCTCGGCCTTCTTGGGGTCACCTTCTTCTTTGTGCTGTCATCGAATCGATTGCGGGCGGTTGAAGGTGGATATAGTCCAGGGGACGATGGTAATTGGTTTGATGGATCGACGGGGGCGAGGGGTAAATTTGGATTGGGCGAAAGGTGATGAACATGAGTTGCGATTTCAGCGTTGATATCTCCCGCACTAGAAAGTGGTCGCCTTTGGCCTGTGGTATTCAAAGGTGTGCCAATGTCAACATCAACGAAAGAAGGATGTTGCGAGCTTGTCAAGCGACCCGGCGTCGAGTGGAAGACTGAATATTCCTCTGCAAATTGGGGCGTCCAACCGCTCCTATCCTCAAAACTCGAATTGTTGTTCCTGGGCGTTTGGAACGTTGGGCTCGGGAAGTGGGCAGAAGTCGGAGTCTGTGTAGGGGTTGGAGGTTGGGCGTTTGGATTCCCAAAGCTATTTGGCACAAATTAGTAAACGTTTACGCAGACAACTTTCAAAGGAACAGATACCTGAATGCCTGTTGATCCCAACTCATAGCAAAGTTGCCTTGCTGAGATATAGCAAATGGGCCGAGGCAGAAGCGCTGCCTACACAAGTAATTGGAGCTCTCTGATAGATTTTCTGAACCGACCACCACCCTCTTTTTTCCTTGATTGATATCAGGTCTGAGCTTTTGTATGCTATGCAAGTGTCGTCTATAGCTCGGGTGGCTCGGTAGGGTGTTGTAAGAGCAACTGTGGGGGTTTCGAGCAAACAAAGGATTCAGAACATGGCAAGCACGTAGATTGGGGTATCTTTCGGCCCTAGATGTCGCCAATGGAGTCAGTACTCAAGTTTCAAAATCAATATCCAATTGGGCCTACCAAGATTATCATACAATCAGGCGTTCACGGCCGTTGGAGGGGCTCAGGTCAAAAAGCGTAAGCAGAGGTATCGTACCCGGTGCTAAGGGATGGAGTTGTGCCACTTCTTTCTCAACCAACACTCAAAATTAATTACGAGCAAGCGAGCAAGCGAGCAGCTAGTTCTTGTCTTTAGCAGTCTTATAAAGGGTCCAGAATCCCTCGAGGAATGTCGTTGTTGCAAGCACACGATCGTCAGATCTGCAAGACGTTCCGGTATGAAGGAGCACAGTAACGAGAAAAAAGGGTACCAGGTCAGGGTCGAAAGTCGTAGCGGAACCCGAATTCTACCAAACCCACAGAGACGTCTAGGCCAGCTGAAGAATTATTATTATTATTTACTGGCGTACTGCTGGAGTTTCTCCGAGCATTATTATCGACTTGTAGGAAGGTTTGGAGGAATGCTCATTTCAGTGGGTAGGAACGGCGTCAGGAAGCGTGATGATCAAGGCAACGAAGCGCGGAGGTAAGCTTGCATCTGCAGCTTGTAAATAGCTTAAAAGCATATACACGGTAAAAGGATGGGGAAGGTCAAGCCTAAGATGTTCCGTAAGGCGCGCGGAGCTGTACGATTGAGAGAATAGCAGGCGGCCGCTTGGTTGAGTAGGCAATGCATCTGCTGGGGGTTCCTTCTTGCGAGCCAGTGAGGTTCCTTATACAAGTATTGTCAGGTATTGCAGAGACAAAGTACACAGTATTTACCCGTTTCCGAGCCGGATTGAACGCGAAAGGCTTGATAGAGAACGAGCTTCATAACCTAGGTACATGGCATTTTGTGAAAGATATGGATTTCCATGTACCGCTCTAGAGGAACATTAGCGTGAAGCCCGTCTGGGTACGCCACTACTGTGCTCACTCTCGAGCTGGACACAAAAAGCGGCACTTATTTCTATCAACTCTTAGCCTCTCACTCCGCCTGGAACATTATAAATTGGTGCCGCTTTTTCTGTCATTCGCGAGCCACTGCATTGCATCTTTTGACTCTCATGTATCCATAATATGGGATGATCGATTGTACCTGCATATAGTATATGATTCGACCATACACATTTGCATTCAGCGGTCTGGAGTCTGCTTTTCTGCCCTACAGATCGATCCAAGAACTGGAAGGACCTGCATTAAAGCATAACCAAGTGACAAGTGCAAGTGGACGAAACCTTCTTCTTGAGATCCACCCCACCTACCCACCAGGAGTCAGGACACCAAAGTCCGCTAAATCATTATAATCTCCGTCTGGCCATTATGTGCCCAGAGCTTCCTTCCAAAGTCAATCAGATATGTCATCATCTTTTCAGATAACACCGAGTTCCTCGTACCTTTTTCCGCTTCTGCGAATGGATCCCTAGCATCTAGCAGGCAAATCTCCGAAAAACACCAATCAAAAGCTGTTTACTCATAGCGTATGAATCCAACATATCTTTATCTTTTGCTTCTGAGTTCGCCTAAAATGGTAGGATATGAAAATCCGTACCTACTGTACTCCGTACAGCACAGCATGCGTCAGATGTGGCTTCAGGGTGTAATAACCGAATGGTTCTCAACGAACGCAGCAAGCCTGCATCTGGCTATCCCAAAATCCCATCCTCCCATCATCCTTGATCAACAAGGGGAACGTCTGCAGTAGCTCCCTCGATTCGACCCCTCGTCGCTTCAACCCCGAAAGAATAGTTCAAGCAGATACTCTGCAACGAATGGGAGGTTATCTATTATGGGGTTTCCTTTTCTAGAGAAACAGACGGCACAGCAAGTTCAACGCTCGAGTCGAGTAATTGTTAACCAACCAGTCACATCTTCAGTTTGAAAATTCAGCTGGACCGGGATTCGTCCTAACTATCTCCCCCCTAAAATAGGAGCAGGTCGTTAAACGGCTTGCGACTTATAACTACGCATTAGAAGGCTGCTTGCCGGCTTGCCGACTCAGAGCCACGAAACAAGATGGGTAGTTTCTTTTCTTTTTTATATATGAGGTTATACCTACGGGCTCTGAACGCACCCCGATATGTCTCCTCGATCACTGGGTTTTCCTGGAACATTTTCACCTGATATATGTTATTGACAGCACCGAAATACTGCTCACAATGGCCTTCTCAAGTACAAAGATGGTAGGAGCCCTTCCACTAAAGCATTCTTAAGAGTAACACATAACACGTGCCCCCCCCCTCGTTTCCCTCCTCCCCGACCCCACCACACCAGTTTTCAACATCCAGCCCAGTCCGCAAGCCACAAGCCACCCCCTCGCTACGTCTTCCTAGTCATGGAGTACGCAATACGCATCACCAAGCAATTACAAAGTCTAACAAACGCATGAAATATTGCGCAGCTGCCAGCCACTCGTTCAACTCGTTCAACGACCTAGCACAATAGCGTTATCGGCTTGCTCGCCCAAGAAAGGGGCTACCCTACCCTACCCCTCCATGGTTTACCCTCGTTGAAATACTCAGTATTCTACGCAGCAACGTCATTATCTATTACTTCTGCTCGTATTCACACCGCAGGTCCCCATTCATGCGTAAGAGTAAGGTAAGTTACTTATCCATCTAGTCTCTTGAAACTCTCCAGCCTCACCTATTTCATCTGAAGCATGCACGCATCTCAGTCACCTGACTGACCAGGGCTGACGATGGCTCGCGCTCCTTCAAACCTCCAATTATTCATCAATAAAGAGGTCAATCAATTCCCACATCTATTTCTATCGTTTCAACCCGGCTCTAGGCGACAGTCCCGCATTCCCAGTATATCATGTGATTACACCTGACCTAACATTCCATCTAGAACATTGCCACCGTGGGGTTTCGCAACTGGATTAGCGGTCAAGAGAGCCGTAAGAGATATTAAAATTCCATCACTCTGATCAAAATGGCGTTATTCCCATTTAACTATTAAAGTAAAATAATAGAATGAAAGGCTAATAAATTAGCAAATGTCACCTCAGTGTCCTATCTAGGCATTAAACTATCCATACAACTATCATCAAGCCGTATAATAAAATATACCAAAAAAAAAAACATACCGTATTACCCAACCACCCACTCACTCACTCAGATTCCAAATAAACCTTGTCTTATCTCAGAAACCATCAATCAAACAATCCTTCATCTCATCTCATCCATCATCAAAGCGCAGCGCACTCTTACATCAAAGAAATCACAAACTCAAAACCGTTAGTTCGCCTCCTGAAAACATGGCGTTTCATTCATTCCACGGGGGTACTCGGTAGTCGCGAGAGACAGTTTGGCGCGTATGATCTTCCGACCCTGCGCGCGGCCACGGATCTGATCTGAACATCCCATGCCATCCCTCGCGCTTAGCCGAGGGATGAAGGAAGGAAGGAGAGAGGGAGGCTCAGCTCAACGAACGGACGGAGTCTCCGGGATCGCATCGCTGCTGGTTACTTGATGAGGAAAGAGTTGAGTTTCTGAGGAGAGATGAGAGGATTGTTTGTAGCGAGCGAGCGAAGTGGGTTTGAAAGGGGTGCGGTGCTTGCTGTATTGTAATTGTTTATGATATTATATGAGAATTCTTGGCCATGATGGGTTCTTGCTTTTCTTTTTTGAAGTCATTTTCTTCATTATGGCTATCTACTAGATGGTATCATATGCATGGTCAGGAATCTACTCTGCCACGTATTCACAAAACATACCAGGGGGAATATATACCAAGCGAATTAGAATGTCGATTTTTGATCTTGTGTGTTGATTTGATGATGGTCGATAGTCGTTCGTTCGCTTGCGGTTCATAAAATCATCACCAGACAAATTATTCCTCCTCTTTATAGAGCTCAGAGCTCGTTGCCCCCTTAGACTTCAAGTTCCCCTCCATACCCGATGAATAGTTGAATTCGTCATTCGTGGAGTGACGCGGACCCGCCATTCGCCGCGCTCCTTTTCTTTCCTTCTTTCAAAACCCCGACGCGAAAAGCAATTCAAAGCAGTGACAAAAGAAATTTGAGGTCAAATCATTCCTGACAGGCCTTCCAAAGGATTGATTGTCGTTTTCCGATTCTGCCGCGCTTGGCTTTGATGAAGCATACCTGGTGTAACGGGCGTATTGGCGACCGAGTTACTCGGGGTCATCTGAGGCGTCATCGGTGGCTCGTTCTTCGGTTTTGCCATAGTCGAAGCGCCCAGCGCACGAGTATGAGAAGATTCACGACGACGCTTCGGCGCATCCTTGATTTTAGGGTGCGTGTGGCACTTTTGCGAAAGTCAACAACAGTTCCTAGTAGAATAACAGAGATATTGGACTTACTTTGTAGGCGTGTCGGAACCAAGTGGTGCCCTTCTTCTTGCTGCTCACCAGTGCAACCCACTCGTTACAGCTGCCGCACAGACCCTCCCACACATCTGGGTTACCATCCATGCGGCGCGTCTCTTGTGGCTCTTGGAACGGGCTGCCCGTCGCAGCGCTGATACCATGCGTGAAACTTTTGTCGTACCAGAAAGCGCTGTTCTTCAAGACAAGCCATCTTCCGGGCTTGCAAATTCCACACCAACCTTCGCGCTTGTTCCCATGACCACGTACCCATCTCGGCGTGTAAAGGTCTCCGTCAAAGCGCAGTTCCTGCTCGTGTGGCACCAAGTCGCCATCGCTCGGGTTCATATCCTCCGGAGGCGGCGGAACTTGCTCTTCATGGAGAGACGCATATAGATCTGGGGGGTCGCTTAAGTCGGTGTAGTGCGAATGTAGCGAATGCGGATCAGCGTTGCTTTGGAGCATTCGGAAAAGCCCATGGGAGAGTAGGGGTGGTGGAGCTTCAAATTGGTGTGTTTCCTGGTAGTTTCCGGAGGGAAGTAGCATGCTGTTACGATGGAAGCCTGTGTTGTTCTGAATAAGGAATGGGTGCTGTTGCGTTTGTAAATTGCTCAAGTTCAGCGGAAGTTGAGCATTTGGTAGTATCGGGGAGGAGTGTCTCGATGACATGCGTGGAGGGTGGGGTGTAAAAACCTCATGACCTTGGTGATAGATAAAAGGAGAAGGTCGCCTATTTTGTGCGGGGGCGTAGGAACCAGTAGACCATCTCTTGTTGCGGCTGCTGTCCATGTTGTAGGGTGCCGATCGCATACTCGGACGGGGTGAAGGCGAGGCGCGGCCTCTGCTTTGTGTTCGAACAAGCTCGGAACGATGCTGTGGTGTCATTCTTGGTGATGCCACGGGTGATAGTTGGGTCGAAGACATGAGCGAGTTGCGATTTGAACGGGGCGGGTAGTCAGAAGTGTATGATTGCGCTTCTGACAACGTAGTAGAGAAGTCATCATATGATTGCATCTCAGAGAGCGCCCCAGTTGTCGACACTGTAAAGGAAGAGCCGGACATGCGCCTAGAACTGTACGACGGCTCCAAACTTAGACGATCACTGTCCATTCCAGGCCCAGAAAAGCGCAAGTCGAGGATTGGAGCACTCTCGTCTGTTGAAAATTGTTGACCCATATGCATATCTGTGTCAAGATTCTGCAAGTCTATCCCATCATTGCAAGCCTTAGACTGCCAACCATCTGTGGCGCCTGTCAGATGAAGGTTTCCATCGAGTGCTCCTCTCTCATTCCAGAAAGACTTACTTTCACCACCGGATGTAGAGGGGTAAAAGTCTTGCTGTACTGAGTATGTCTGAGGAAGCCCATCATTGACTGGCTGCATCGGCATAGTCGATGAGTCCCAGGCAGGTAAAGAGTTGAACTCTTCGGAGAAGGAATAAGGAAATACAGATTCGTGAATTGTCGCTGGTCGAGGTCTCGACACAGGAGGGGTCGGCGAGGACCACATTCCAAGTCCAAGTGGTTCGGTCTTTACCGATAATTCAGGTGGATTCATGGTAACTGAGGAAAATGGTCTGGGTGAAAAGTCCCGTCTAAACTTGTTGTTTGGGTTGAATGTATAGGAGGGTGCTTGGATTTGTGGCTGGTTACTATGGTTGAGGTAAGTAATAGAGTCTTACGGGACAGTGGTGGGATGCCTCACAACTGCGCTTGGTCCGAGGAGTCCATGACGAAGTGTCGTCCACGTTGTATCGATTATAAGCCAGCCCTGACAACCATCGTCGTCAGCGATGATAAGTAGTCTTATGAAGAGTTATGAAGACCAGAAAGTGGAGCATAGTCCATGCGCAGTGAGATCAACTAGAAAGGTTTAAAAGAATACCTGTAACTTACCAGGCGGGTTAAGATCGAAGGATATCCACTCGATATGAATGACCCAGAAGGCAGTCCCGGAGGTGTAAGGAATGCGTAGAGTTTCTGCGGAGCTTCCGAGAAACGAAATTGGACAATTGATGCCTCGCGATTGAGGAAGTGGGGGATGTATTACTACCAGATCGGTTGACCAAAAGGAGTGTGAAATGAGTTTGTGCTATGCAAAAGTATAGGAACAAACTCGTTTGGATCTGCGTAGCCTGGCTTGACCTAGATGAGAGCCAGCTCCCAGTATATAGAGCAGAAGAAAGCGAAATTAAATGGCCGTAAAGGAGTGAGTGGCCGACTGGAATAGGAAGACTTGCGATTGGGACGACGAGGAAAGAAGTGGAAGAGGGGCACTGGGCGGTGCTGCATCCTTGAGTAATAAGAAGAGAAAGACATTCCTTAACAGCCCTGTCCCGGGATCGGGACTGTCTCAACCCATGTCAGTGTTTTTGATAGTTGATACAAGCCAAACAGTAAGTACAAAACCTGCGTGGTACAGGAAAGGACAGGAACGATACTGGGCCCACCAGCCCTTGGCATCGCGGGGGTCACTAGGAGCCCATTTGTAGCTAGGATCGAATCTATGGTATCGAAACCCGATAGAGCCAGGGTTGAATAGAGTATTGCACTGTATTGGTCATGGAACAGCGATTTGCTAGGATGTGTTCACTGTTCATCCAGCAGTTACCTATTTACTACCCACTAAGGAAGGGGGTGGCTTGTCGGTCTCATGCGACGCCACCATATTATACTGTAGACAACCTTATCTAGGGTAAGCCAAGCTTGGAAGAGCAAGCCTAAACATCTGAGGGTGTATAGTATGTAAGGACCTACGTATACGTATATGGTGCGAATAGCCCACCACACGCTCAAACGTTGGGGAACCAGTACAGTACGATCTGTCCTTTGATGGTACTGTAAGTTTAGGCAGGGCCACAAAAGTCCAGCTTTGTAACGTCTGGCTAGGCCTTTGATCTTGGGCAAACCACCATTCCGACATTTAGAGTGACCAATAAGATCCATCACCTTGCCCTGCTACTTACTATACATCAAGACCGCTGCCACCAGTCAGCTCAGCGCTCAGGGATTACGCTTAGTCGCAAGATCCGGTCCGGCTCTTGTTTGAGGATCTTCCACACTGGCAGGGGATCTCCCCGGATGTTGTGAGAAAGACAGCAGAGCAATATCAGCCCTGCTATTATTGCTATCGTGTTGTTCGAGGGCTTGGACTCTTTGGGTACGGCAACCCCGCCGCCAGCTGTACAAGAAACACGCCAACCCAACTAGTCGGAATGCTAGATGAACGAGGACTCTTGTTGAGCAGGCGAATGCAACAATGAATGAGTCTTTGAGATATGAGAGGGGAGGGGAGGGGAGCCTTCGCGGCGAAAGTTTCATATTGTCTGTTGCGAGCAGTGAGGTTTACTGTTATTTGTGGAGATGTCGATGAATCTAGTGAAGTTGCTGCAGGTCGTGGGGTGGTCGTGGCTGTGGCTGTGGAATGAGTGAAGCGAAGCGACAGCGACCCAACAGATGCTAGGATGCAGAAGCGAGCCTTGTTTGACTAACAACCTGAAACGATGCGCGTGCAGGGAGGGCGAGGGAAGGGGAAGGGGTTAAATGGTTAAAAAGCGCCAAAGAAGGGTGGAGGGGGCGGGACCCTTGCTACAGTAAGGTATCCGCTGCTGTGGCCGAATGGGAATAGTTCCAAAATAGACGTGCATGCGCTGACACTGTACTGTACCTTTCGTACTGTATCCACTACCAAACTCAACCTCAAGACTTGAGATCAAGTCACTCGAGTCGCAGCCAACTGTGGTGTCGGTGCGCATGCGGATGAGGTTTTGCAACAATGTTGAAGGCTGACATGCTGGATCGCCATTCGATCTGATACCGCCCGTTCTGTCGAGTAACTCTATAAAAAACCTCCAACCTCACCCAACCGCCGACCAACCATACAAAATACTGCCCGCCATCAGCGTCCAACCCACCACCTTCGGAGCTTCTAAAGTTTCTAGATGATGGTTGGCTATTTTAGGAGCCGTGTGAGTGAGATCAGTAGGCCAGCAAACATAGTGCAGCTCGGCCCGTTAACTTCAGGTTCTAGAACTTCGCCCTGTCGAAATTGAGATGAACTTAGGGCCAAACAAAAAAAAGCACACCTTTCTCGTTGTTGTTCTTGTTCTTTCCATAGAAAACTCGTGAGACGAAACGACCACGGACCATGACAAACATACATTGGCTTGAAGTCGCTGTGGACAGACAAAACGGCACTTCGAAGTAATATCATCGGCTTTATTGATCTCGCTTTTTCTGTCTGCCGCAGTGCCGCGAGTTCATGTACCCTGCTACCCTAAGCCCTCTACTGTAGGTCCTTGCCTTTCGGCTTGCCTGGTGCTCGCATGAACTTCACTTCTCAATCCGGGAAATGGACTTGCCTGATGTAGATAATCACCATCAATAATAGAACACTCATATGAAAATCTTATGCCAGCGATGCCATTCCGGCTGAATAGAGAATAGACGATATGATCCGCGTCCACGCGTCCATACCTCCGTACGGAGCTTTTCTCTCGTTTTTCTAGTCTCATTCAAACACGATCGACTCATCACCTCGCCTTATCGTAGATCATGATTCTTGTTTCTTGTTTCCTCAAGCCTCAGCTTTAACGCCATCCAAATTCATGCAAACACCCGAATGAGATATTGCTTCCAAAACATCACCCATCCCCCTTAATCGTAGAGGCTGAATCATTTTCGAGTGATCCCTACTAACCATGAACGCCATCTTTAATCCTATCTAGTGTTCCCCAGGTGGTTGCCTAGATAGGTTCCCAGCTCTGGGACCCCCTTGCAATCAATGGATTCTTTCCAGAAGCAAGATCGAATCCTTCTTATCTAACCCTTGTTGATCTTGCGCCATACTTCGGCTTCCGCTTCTGAAATCTTCTCTCCGGCCTGCTGTGTCCATTTCTTCGCGGTGTTCCATATGCTTCCCGAATCCATCGCACCAAAATTCTCGGTAGATTCCCGTCCACCTAAGGCTGATGATGCATTAATGGTCTCCTGTGCCCTTCTCTGCTCGCTCGTTTGATCTGAAGCATAGACATTCTGGTGATATCCCGGCGGGTGCTCGAGACTTCTTCGAGGCCCTCCGGATTCAGTGGACGGAATCTGAACAGGGTACGATGACGATGGAGTGTTTGAGGTAGCTGTGGACGACGTCGGGGGTGGTCCTCCAAAAGCCGAACTAGGTGGTGGGATGCTCATCTGTGAGGGTAATGGCCTCGAGGTAGGTGGCTGGGGAGCAGATGTTTGTTCTGGACGGAAGGTTTCGCCGTCCTTGGGAGGAGGAACATTCCTACTTGATGGAATAGGTGCGGCGCCTGGCTGTGGCGGTGGAGGTCTCTCGGCCTCACTTGAAGTTGTCTTGGTTGGTTGCAAAGGTGCATATCGTTGTGCTGCTGTTCCAGTAGGCGCAGGGAAAGCAGCAGCGCCGGGTCTTGCTGGAGGATAAGAAGATGTAGGTATTGACGTTGTCGTGGCGGGCACATATTGGGGAGCAACAGGTGAAGCCTCTACATTGGGAGCAGCTGTCTGTGGCGTTACCCCAGAAGCCTTTGAGGGGGCATTCAGGGGACTCTGCGTATAGATTGGTATTCCTGACATGATGAATTCAGTCTCGAGTCGAGCGATTCTCGGGGTAGCCGTGGTACGAGTGCTTTGGTGCTTATGGAGGATTCGATGTTGTTGTGGCGGGTGGCTAGGGCCCGTGAGTTCCTTGTGGCTTTGAAACGCTATGCAGAATCCAACCAAATGTTGCGTTATTCTACTGTACGAGTTTGTAAGTTGAAAGAAGATTGAGTGAGGTTGAGGTTGAAACAGTTATGGAATGTGATGCGTCAGAAGAACTCTCAAAGAGCACAGCACCGCACCCCACCAGTACCCCTGCCAAATGACGTATGTGATGCCGTTATTGACCACCAGGAGGATACAAACAAGACAAGTATAAGTCAACGCAAAAAGCGGCACTCATTATCATCAACTTTTAGTCTTTTGATGTCCATGAATCTGTGCCGCTTTTTCAGTCTTCCGCAAGCATGCCACTTATATCCGTTATTGGTCAACCACAATGCTATATCTATACCTCAAATCTATCTCACCAAACTCGTGAAACTCTTTTACCCCAATGTAACTCGCGACCAAAGAAGGAAGGTCCGACTCTTAAATTTTACATTTCGTTGTTCACATTAATTGGGAATATTGATTCGGTCAAAACCAGCTTGATTGAGTTTATCTATGAAAATGTGCTGATTCTACCCCTCTCATGTCCCATTAGATCTCTCAGCAGTCCCTTTACCCCCGCAAAGCTCTAAAAGTGCAATGTTCCTCCTTCACGCTCAATCAGATTTCTCATCAGCACTAAGTCTCACCAAAACTCACTTAGGCTTCTTACCAAGTCTATGCTTGCTCAAAGCATCCTTCACCGCCTCAAGACCATCGGAATCAAACCTGCCCTGCAACAATGAAATCCTAGGTACTTTCGGAATATCGTTGAACATCCAATCGGCAGGATCCGGGTGTTGCTTAATAAGAATCTCCATTACTCCTATGAATTTCTCGAGTGTCTTCACAACGGACTCATTCTCCTCGTCTTTTGCGAAACGCGGAGCTATGAAAGTGATCTCTTCGACCTTTCCCAGGGTCTCAATCGCATGCAAGACGCAGTATAATGACCACATAACGCAGTCATTATAGCCTGTGGCATTCATGGTGCAAAGCATACCGTTCTGTGGCGTGGAGAAAGACGACGGCGTCAAGGCTATGAATCGAATTTGCTCGCCGTCTGCTCTGGTGACGTCTGAAAGGAATGATCGCAGGAGCCGCAAGTTGCTGAAGATCACTTTATCCTTGGGGTTGAAATACACCAACGGATGTCCCAGGTCGAGCCAGGATGAAAAGCTGGGCTTGTAGTGTTTGAGAATCTCTTTACGAGAATCGTAGGTTGTGGACACCATGCTGAGAGGTGTCTGAGTAGCCTTCCCTGGGTGCTGAAAAACGACGACTCTCGGTCCGGGGACCGCCAACTCCCAAATATTTAGCACAAGCTCTAGTGGAAGTTTGGAAAAGGGTGTGAAGGACTTGCCTTTGTTGGAAAGTTCTTGTGAGTTTGTCGATTCAGACATCTTGTGGGGATTCGATGTTGCGATGAATAAGATCTGATCCTGCGATGAATCAAAATTTGGAACGCATGGTACTATACTTGAAGTTATATACTTGGGGGGAAAACGGCAGAAAAAATAATGATCGGTAAAATTTGATACTGTTCTGGTACTGTAAAAATATTGTTTCTCCCGAAGTGGAACATTATGGCGTTATTTGCTTTGGGTTGCCTGGAATCGGTAATACCATATCCTCACTGCTATATGCTTGTTGCCGGTCAGTAATCTCCTCTGCAGTCGACTTCCTGGAGGTGCCTCTTGTCACGCTTCGGTAGAGCATCAATATAAGAGTTTTATTCACTAAGACAACTACCAAGAGCACCAGGAGAAAAGCTAGAAGTGCAGAGGTAGGAAGTTGGGAATAACCTCAAGAGCACGGGTCACGTCACTAAGCGAGCTGATCCATAACGTGCCACCTTTGTCTGTTACCAAGGCGGCTGAAAAGATTAAGTCCACTTTCATTATTGCAGAGCCGTACCCAAATGACGGAGAAAAGCCATAGCGTCGGCCATTAGGTCCACCAGTCAGTACTAACTACTATTGTGTTACGATGAATACTAAGCAATTACTCATGCAAAATCATAATTTGGATAATATGCAAGTGCCATATAACAAACAAAACGTGTTATGTGTAGTAAGCCAGGAAATTTGTCATTGTTCCTCACTTAATTGTTGTTCAGTCAGGCGACTGTATTTCGGTATAAATTTCTCGAGTCCTTTGTAACAAACAGTACACGAGAACAAGTCAAATAAACTAGAAAGAAGCCCTCAAAGAACAGTTTGTTCATCGTACAATGGTTTTGTCATCCCAGAAACAGAAGAAAGACAACAATGAAAAAACAGGATCAGTTTTGGGCCGTCAGCGGGCATATAAATAAGCCAACGCAAGCACCCCCAAAAGACCAACTCAACAAACTCAACACAACCACCATCATAAAGCATCAAAACGAACATGTCAGACTTTTACACCATACCTGGCAACGGCTGCATCGTTCACGAGCTTTTCCCTGACGGTAATTGCGCGGACTGCAGCAGAGTCGAGAAAGCCTACATGTATCCTCCCCCTCCTACCACAGAGGCAGAGGACAGACTAACGGCAGCCGAGAAAGCACAATATTCGTTCCAACCTATTCCTCTCCACAGAGATGACGAATCTTACTACCCTGAACGGTTGGCTCTTGAAGTTGATAAGCCGAAAAGGGGCCGCCCCCGAGGAAGTCAAAACCGACCAAAGTACACCCTCGTCCACCAAAGATCCATAGAGGTCTCGGATGATGACACGGAAACTGCCGAGGAACGTTCTGAGCCGAACAAGGCGTGGAAGAGCTCTAAAGCAAAACAACCCACTACCCAGCCAGCAAAACCCACCCTCATCCGCCAGAAAACGCCCACCCAAGAGCTCTCGGACGCCACCATCTCGAACGACACCAGCCCGGACGACACCATCGTGGTTGACGTCGGAGATGAAAAGATCGAAGACCTCTCTGAGCTGCGCGAGGCGTTGAAACGCTCTGAAGCAAAACTCAAGATTGCAAAACAGAAAACACAGCTGCTGGCGGACCTGAAGAAGGTGGAAGATGAATTGGCTGCAGAAGAAGACAAATCAACCAATTTTATTCCAGTCAAGAGCGGTCGAAAGCGAAAAGCGGTGTCAGAGCCGGAGGATTCTTCAGAAGGGATACCCACTTTCAAGAGTCCAGCCAAGAAAATCCGAAGACAAAAAATGGACTCCGAGTCAGAAGATTCTCCAGAGCCTCGACGTCGACTAAGACGCTCCAACGGATTCGCAAAGAAGTATGCCGAATGAAATTTCAGCATTAGAACTCTTGTCCTCTTTCGAGATGATGCGAAGAACATAGCAAGGTAGTAAATGGTCCCACTCAATAATACTGAATTCCCCCTAAAAAAGTCTATCCACACGTGAACCATGCACCATAGTAATGAGTGAACTGAACGCATGTTCTAGTATTTGAGTTAATAATAGTTACTCCCTTGTTCCCTGAGTTCGAATCTCACGAAAAATTCCAGCGCCAATGCCAACAACCAAGAGTACAGCATTGAATATCGCCATCATGTAAAACGGGCCCCGGGGGATAGACTATCGAACAAAGCGCCTCCAAGTTTCGTGAGCAGTAATATGGCTGCACCTCCCGAAAGGGAATATACCCCTGCAATGGAACCTTTGAGATGACTTCTGGACTTAGTCTGCACTGGTGCCAACGATGAAGCAATGAGGGGTTCAGTCTCGTTAGCATCATTGACTATTGGAGTTGTTTGAGGTCCTCCCAATTGTGAGGAAAGATTGTAGCCTCCTTCATCTCCAAGAACGCCGCGGCCCAATAAACCAAGGCTACAGACGATGGCTCCAATCTGGCTGATGCCAATCAAGGCCACTATCAAAAAGACAATAGGGCTTCCACCTCTGCCATCAACATTCTTGGGCTCTGGACTAACAAGCCTCGCAAAAGCTGTATACCCAACAATGCCAAAAACACCTGCTATGAGAAGTGGAATATTGAATCGACGGTATCTATCGGACAAGTATCCAAACAAAGGCGCGCAAAGAAGCGCTATGAGCTGCGAGACTCCCGTCAACTCAGCTGAAAGAATGTATGCTGCTCTACATTCTTTCTTTAGCTCTGGCGAGGGGTCATTTGGTGAGCCTTGACAGAACCCATTTCGTATGAAATAGGCGTTTATATAAAGAGGAATGAACAATGAGATGGCCACGGAAGATGCTCTAGCAATAAATCCACCGAGATAGCCTAAGCCAATTTGAGCATCTTTGAATCCCAATAACGTAGAATCGAGTAAAAGTTTCCAATATGGGAGGAAGGGGGGTTGACAGCTCTTGATTGCCCTTGGGTATCGTCTGAAGGCACAGCCTCGTAATCGTGAGATGGGGACTTCCCAAGGAGTAGACGCCAACCCTTCCCCTCTTCTCCTTCCAATCCGCGCAATCCAAAAAAGCAACAGGATGCGACAATGAGGGCCACGGCGCCAACCACATAAAAGCTATCAGCTACAGCCTGGCCTTGCGTCTTTCCTTTCAGATGAGAAAATTGTGCGGGTAATGGAAGGAAAACAGACAGAGCTACTAGAGCTCCGCAACCAGTAAATACACCCACCAATCCAGCCAGCCGAGGCGGACTCGATGAGGTCTTGGATGCAGTCTTTCTTGTATGTCCGTTCGAAGCTTGAGGGCTTGACCTCCCATTGAAGTTTGACGGAGTAATAGTAACTTCCGAGTCGAGAGACGCAGCAATACTGCGACGACCTGGTACCCCTTCCGAGCTATCATGTCCCTCATGTCCCTTCACAGAATCCGCATCATGATTGTTCCCTGTCATCGAAGGTAGGATGGCTGTCACCATTGTGGCTCTGTCGTCTGATTTAGCACCTAAGAAATGAAATGTATGGCGATGTAATACTCACGTTGCCGCCCCACCGATGCTAAAGAACACCCTTGCGAGAAGAAGCTGCGGATACACGTTCTTCGCCTGCACAAACAGGAAGAGCGCGAGTCCAACAATAGTATACCCCGCAACACAGACATTCCTCACACCCAGTCTATCCGAGAGAATACCCCATATTGGACACGCAAAGAGCGCAACCAGCTCATCCACAAAGCCCAATGTTCCTACCAGATCTCCTACGCCATCTTTGATTCCAATAAGGTCTGTAATCACGAAGGATACGCTGCTGTTCAGGAAGACGAGGAAGGATATCGAGAATAAGCACACAGCCAGTAGGTACGCACAAGCTTGGGTGGTGGTCGTCGATGACGCGAAGGGGAGGTATTTGGATACGGAGAACGTCTTTGGCTTGTCGTCGGTGTCGTTAGCCATGTTGGTTGTATCAATTGATGTCCGGGGGCATTTTTGTGGCGTTACAAAGAGTCTTGGTGAGAGAGTACCGGCACTGTACTGTACTGTACCGTACGGGAGGACGTGCGTACGTGCGCTTTCGCGGGCGGGGTGGGATCCCGATGTCCCAAAGAGGAAATAAGCATGAAGTTAGCTCGCGGTGGACAAGCGGCTCCAATTCAGAACGGTGATAATAAGGTTGGGAATGGTTATAAATTCTAAAAGTAAAGATAGAAAGACATTGGAATAGATCTAATCAATGAAAATGCCTCTAGAAGCAATGAGGGAAACAGCTATGAGATATTAATCTAGTAACCAAATCAGAGGTTCTATCTATCCTTACCTCCCCCTGCCCGCCCCACCCTAAAAGAGCATTGAACAAGTTCCCTCATAACGACGAGATTTAGTGGAACAGGATCACGAGATTGTCAAATATATCATTCCAAGAGAAAGACAGGTTTCTTTGCGTTATGAACTTGACTACGGAGTAATACCCATGAACTTATAACTACGAACGCAAAGCTCTCATTGATTTTAGTCGACGTCTAAGCGCGAGACTCTCTCTCCTTCATTACCTGGGCTCTTTCTCGTATCTGGGTAATGTGAATAGTAGGTCGAATCGCTACCTTGCCATCATAAACGCGACGTCGTGTAGATATCTCCTGCTCCTGCTTCCTCAAATGAGACACGTTCTTGACGGTAGAGAATATGGTGAGCCAAATCAATCCAGACTGCAACCACAGTTGTGAACTTGACTTTCAAGCAGAATATCCTCCCATACAAGCCTCGGCGCATTGGGAGTGTGTGTGGTTTAGAACCAGTTCATTGCATAGGCATTCAGCTCCGAGCCAAACTCTAAAAAGTAAGGAGACCCAGGCATTGTGTTAAAAATCTTTATACTAGAATTAAGATATATCAGGCCTATTGCCAGTCATTATTACAACTCCTTATACATTATCCCAATTCAATCTCCATCGCCCATCTCTAATGTGTTTTTTCCAATATCAATCCATGTATGTTTCCGTATCCATCGCTTATAAGGACAGGAATATAATGCGCTAAAGGACGCCGTTCTGACCGTGAAGTTTAAAAATTTGTGTACCAATACGCCGAAATGTGCCATGTTTCGCCCAACCCAAATGGATGAATAAATGGAACGAAACAAGTAGAATTATGCAAGGGCAAGAAGAGCTAGAGCACCGACAAAGGCGTATGCTACTGGCCGGTTTGTTGGTGCTGCGCCTGCACCTGGAGTAACCTGGAGAGGGGCCGAAGGAGAAGCTGAGATGGTTGAGGATGGTGAGGGAATTGAGGCAGTGGTCAGATTGGCTGACGCAGTGGTGATTAAGGTAGCTGGGGCGGTGGTTGAAATAGTAGTTGATGGAGCAGGTGCAAGAGTAACGGTCGAGGGAGCTGCAGTGTGATTAAGGTAGTTGGG